TACACAAATTCACAATGCTACTAAAAACACACTCGCTCATATTCTTTCCCTTTGGCCGAAAACAAAAATAACAGCTTTGGTTTACACTTCGTGCCGTTTGCTTCCTCCAGGACCGGCAATAGTGCCGTTTCTCATTGCCCGGCTCTGTTACTGCTCCCAATTTCTTTCTTCCCAGCTGCCGGCTTCGTTTTTCTCGCCTCTTCCCCATTTTTCTCGGCTGCAAGCCCCGCCCGTGAACTCCTGGTACAACATTATTCAGTTGACGGTTGATATAATTATTGTAAATATTAATTATATCGAGGGTATTAAGTTAGTGTCGTCAATTTGCTCAAATTGGCACGAAATTAAACGACCTAATTCAGACTACGTGCCGTTTTACCCAAACACATACGGATTGCTTGACGGTTTCCAACTACGCTTATAGAAAGGTTGAGACTTTTTACCCATCGGCATTGTAAGAAGACGACCTCTTCAAGGCAGGAGGAGGAACACGTTCCTTGTTGGTCTCAATCAAGCTTCCACTAAAATACTCCTTCTCTTCCAGTTTTACCCCTCCGAAATTCTTCAATTCCTTCTCTGCCACCGCCCTCATGCGGCTAGGATTCGCTGCTCCCTGCTTTAGCGTAGCCTGCCTGTTCTCGGGCAACGACAACCCTTGATCTCTCATCAAGGTGGGCCCACACTCTTTAAACGACATCGTACCGCACGATATTAGCTGCATGAGGACCGTCGAAGCCCTCATTCTCCCGCTTGGGATGCTCTCGACCGTCCGATTTAAACCCCGCTCGTTTCCCTCGCTAGGATGCAATATCAGCCGTCCATCCGTCTTCATCAGGGTTTCAAGGGTTTCCGGGCTCGAATCCGACGGCGGAGGCGAGATCTCGCCCCGGCTCAGTTCCGTACTATGACTCTCGTACGGCTCCGGGTCTGGGCTCTTAACCGACGGTTCCTCGTCCATCGCCGGTATTCTCCGCCGCCGGCGATCGTCGGTCTGAGTCGACGCGTCCGCCGCGAGTCTATGAGTTGACGCGGTGCTCGACTCGGCCTTGTAGACCTTGTACTCGCTCAGATCGATGGAGCTCCACGACTGGTTCCTCCGGCGAGCCACAGTGGCCGGAAAGTCGGAGTCTTTACGGGAGTTGACTGGGTCAAACGTTCTCGGGGCCCTGAACGACGACGTTTCGAGGAGGCCTCTAGGGTTTTGGACAAGACGATCGGGAATCTCAGAACCTTTAAGAACGTACTCTTGGCCGTGGACGGGGAAGATGAAGTCGTTTTCCGACAAGTCGTGCCAAACGAATCCGTTCTTGTAGCTCCTAAAGAAGAGAGAGTTCAGAAGATCGGACGGTGGATGTTTATAGAGGGGATTTGATCGGACGGTGGGTGGTAAAGAAGCGAAATGCACGTACCGTTTGGAAGACCAAGAGTAGAGACTCGCCATTCCTTTGCCTCGGAGATCATTCAAGCGGTTTATCACATCTGAGAAAAAAACACAAACCCAAACGTGAGAAAATGCAGAGACTTCTTACATTAAAGTGAGGAAAAACCCTATAAAGCTCCCAAATTTGAAGCTAAAGTTACAGTAAGTGGCTTTTTGTTTCAACTGTTCTGTTCACTGATAAACTCCAAAGAGAAGACAGTGTATAAAACGTTTTGAACTCAAAAAGCAGCATTCTTGTTTGTTTGACCAAATACCCAAAAAAAAAAACGAAGAACGACTTTTTCCGGGGACGCACAAATTTTTTTAAAAAAAGTGAGATTCTTTTACATTTTTTTCTGGGTTTTGAATTATATGTGAGATTTTCAAGTTACAAGCCAAAAAATTTGAGATTCAAAGGTTTTTGCTTTCGAAAATAGAAGAAAGGTGAGTTTTTTTTAAAAAAAAATTCAGGGTTATGGGTTTACTACCTCTGAGATAGAGACCGTCAGGGGAAGAGAGAGGAACTTCCATGAAGTGGGGGTGGTCGAGTTGACCGTTGCGGCAGAGATAGTAAACGACGGGGACTTTCCGGTCAACTGAGGATTGGTGCCGGGGCTCCGACCAGATTCGGGTTCGGTCCGGGCTCGTCTCCTGCTCCTTCAATCTCTTCGGAATCAGAAAGTTTTCTGGATTTGCTCTGAACCCCCTTGAACTCAACGCCATCGCTCTCTTCCTACCGAAAGAAGAAGACCAACTTTACAACAAGGAGTGAAAAGGTTGGCTTTTGGAGAGTGACGTGAACAGAGAGAAATTCTTCCGGTTAAGGGTTTCGATTTATAGGAGGGAGAAGAAGACAGAAAGAGAGAGAGAGATTTGAAAAATGGGGATGCGAGAGACAAGAGCTACACAACAAACTTCACCTCTCTCTCTCTCTCTCTCCCTCTCTCTCTCTCCTGCTCCTTCCGATGCCGGCGTTTACTCATGACAGTAGGGGAAAAGAAATTCAATGAATAAATGCTACTATTGGTAAAACTTTGCAAGTTTGAATTTTATTGATTAGGGGGAAAAAAGCAATGGAATTTTTAATTAAAAAAATGGATAAAGGCATAGACCATCGATTAATTTGAAAAAAAAAACATGACATTAAACGAAACTCTTTAACTGAGTTAATAATTTTATGATTCCAATATTAAAATTTTGGAAAAAGAGGTGAGGGGGGAAATCCAAAAGAAGAGTGAATTTTCAAAATCTGTGAAGAGTTGACTAATGAGTCCACACCTAACTTTGACTATAAATATGAAACCGATTATTTCGTTTGGCTATGTGATGTCCGTTTCACATACATGGGCTTTGCAGTAGAACCCGTGAAGACCGCTGCCACGTGTCACCCCTTCACGTGCATAGAATCTCTCGACTTTTATTTTATTTTTAAAATCTCACTCACTCTAGACTGATAGAATTAGTTTAATTATTAATACATTGAAGAACAGTCATATATTAAAAAAAAGTTAAAATATCCAAAATACCTTATCTAAAAATAATTCTACATATATTCTCTTTTCAACTGTTATGCGAACAAAATAACTTTATAATCATATGATGATCATATTGATCACAACGTTAAATTTTTTATAATTTCACTAATTAATTAATATGATATATAAGGTATGATCATGATGATTTGGTGTGATCACTATAAATTTAACGTTATAACTAATGTGACCATCTTGACCATACAGTTACTCTGATCATATGGTTATATCTGGATGAGTATATGTGTAGAAGTAGTTTTAACAAAAGGATAGTATTTTAGATAATGATCCATTAAAAAACTACTCTTTTCATTTAATAATAATAATTGACGTTTTAATTTTTTTCACAATTTTTAAAAGTCGATAAAAAAAAGTCATAAGGGTAAAATAAGTTAAAATATAACTACTATTCATTACGTTTATTAAAATTCATTAATTTTAATTAAAGATAAAATTGAAAATTATTTTAAAATGTATATAAAAAATCTAAAATGATAACTATTTTGAAACAACAAAAAAAATTAAATTTTGTCTATAACTTCTAATTAGGATGGTCGTTTCAGGTTTCGGTTAGAGTTTAATTCGGTTATATTCGGATTCGGTTATTTCGGTTATAGAAAAATTATAAGCATTCGGTTTTTATAAAAAATTCGGTTCGGTTGGGTTCGGTATCGATAAAAAAATTATTTTAAAAAAAAAATTATCGAATTTTTTATTATTATTTTTAATTTGGTTCGTTTCGTTTTCGGTTTTTTTGAGTTTAAAAAAAAATATAATCGTTTGGTTTTAAAATTGAGTTCGATTCGGGTACACTTATATTTTATTGATTCGGTTCAGTTTGGTTATTCGATTAATAACCGATCCTTACTTCTAGCGAATAAGGAATCGGATGGAGTATAATTTTACTCCAGAGACGGATTTATATTTTGTTTAGATGGTTCTATTTTGGTTTTTTTTTTTTCCAAGAAAATGCAGCGGTGACTTTGTGTGAAATGAGATCTGCATGGGCCCCATCCATATGGACGGTCCAGATCGAACATGACAATGTCTTGATCGTACGGTCGGCAACTAAGATATGGAGAATCAGATCGGACGACTGTCGGATTCTGACTGAGAGATCGTGTGGACCACATGCGCTGTGGTACGCATCCCCGGTTTCACAAATTGCGAGCCCTTTTTGTTCTTTCCTGTGATCCCCTTGCCCTCCATGGATCTTTTTCCCCCTATATATATTTATAATCTATTTGTTCTATTATATTTTTTTTTTATAAGATTTACGGATTTGAATCTGGATTGGAAAATTCACCCCACTTGAGTTGATTTGATCTATTATTTATATGTTAGATATCCGAATATCAGTTATCCTAACGTTAACAAGATGAAATCAGATTTAAGCATCTACTTATGTATGGATTTGAGTTGTATGCATAACGATTATACAAATATCCTTTATATATATATATTTACGAAATCACCACTATTTATAATTCGAATTTAGAGTTAGATATCCCATCCCGATCCAATACAATGCATGATTGGTTTGGTTATTCATTGTTTTGTCCGATGTATCTAGTTTTATTTTTATTTTTTATTTTTACATTTTGCCATTCAAGGGGAAAAAATGAGATACACTTTCGATTTTTTTACGATCTCCTCGAAAGGTAAAAAAAATAAACATCCAAACAATTACCGTTTTGCATATTATGAAAAGTTACCCACTCATTTGTTTTAATTAATTTCTGAATTTTTTTTTTAATTCGTTTAATGCATGGATTCTATTTGGAGCATCTGAATCTTTTCTCGCTTTAATACGTCGCCTGTGTGTGGTCATGCATGGCGTTTGATATAACATGGAATAACAACGTGGTACCGTAACGGAGATTGAAATGCAAAAACTGTGCATCTAAATTTGGAGATCATATACTAAATAAATTATTAAATTTATTTTACATGGTCCTGTATTGTTTAATACCATCTTTTAGGTGACATTTTTTTCAATACAAAATGAAGTGTATTTAAACGTATTCTAGAAAATGATAAGATAATCAAATGCACGAAAACAGAGCATATACATATATACACATCCTCTCATTTATGGATAATGAGACAATAATACTCGAATTACACGAGAGAATACGTGGCATGTCAAATTAACATTTCTTGTATAATAATAGAACTTTCATACACAGTTTTTATTCATCCCGCAAGTATTGACCATATCTCGAGTGTACAAATTAGGGATAGCCGTTTCGGTATTCAGATTCGGTTATATCGGTTATAAAAAAATATAACCTTTTGGTGTTTTATAAACTTCGTTTCTATTCGATTCGATTCGATTCACATACGGTTTTTTTGTTGTAAAAATCTCATTTTTTGAAAGAAATTACCAGTTTTTCGCTTATTTTTTAATCGGTTTAATTCAGTATTTAATTCGGTTTCGGTTTTTTTAGATTCAAAAAATAATAATCATTCAATTTTTATGTTGGATTCGATTCGGTTATGGTTATATCTTATTTAGTTTGGTTCAATTTAGAATAATAATCAAAATGGTCATCCTAGTAGAAGTTATATTTCTGCAGAGAGAGGGATTTTTTTGACTAATGTTTTGGAATTATAAAAGGACATTTAGTACAGGAGACGTTGGAATTTAATTGAGCTGCACAATTCTTCGAGAGAGAACCCACCAAAATTAACCTCCACGTCGTCGGTAGTCCAACTTGTCGGCCCATCCCTATATTCTATTCCCACGTGGGAAACTCATCCAACAGTTGACTGTTTTTAGACCCTCTAATAATAATAATAATTAGGGGTAGACGGTATAAAAATACAACCGAGTTTTTTTTAAATTTTATAAAATTTTTGGAAAATTGAATTTTTTTAAGAATATTTAAAATTTTAAACAAAAACCAAAACCAAAACATATAAAAAATAGAACAGAACCGAACCGAATAATATACGGTACTAATTTGATACAAATTTTAGAATAACAAATTACCTGTTCCCGAAATGAACCTCTAAAATTCCAAACCGAATACCGAGACGACCACCCCTAATAATTAATATATTTTTAATTTGATTATTTCCATTTGTCACTTGTATTTAGCAAGATTAGTTGGTCGGATTAAAAAAGAGTTCGCCTGGACCAAAGCCTTAGAATTAAAATTAAAATTCCAAGAAAACTAAATAATAACCGAGTTTTAAGATCGACCGACATCGGCATGATCCATCATTTGCGCACGACGACGACTGTCTTGGGGAGATACATAGCTCCCGAGTCCAATGCGCATTTTCCAAAATCAGATGCTCCGATATTCTCTGTATTTGCCGGTTTAGAAAGTACGTGGAAATACGTCAGGAGACCAAAACTATGTATTGATCCAATCATCCAAATGATTAAATAAGTTGCATAGATTCGACCTAGTTTACTTAAAAAAAAATAACTAATCGTCATTTACTAACTGGAAGAACTATCTCTCAGCTTAAAAAAAATGCATTCCATGATTTCATTTCAATTCAATATACATATTTAGACAAAAATAAAAGTCAATACAGTCACATAGATGTATGTATAACTTCGGCAAAATTCAATGATTACAAAATCAAAGAGATGAGAGTGTTTTATTCAAAGGAAAAAAAAAGGATCTAGAAGGGAAAGCCCCTATCTCCGTTGGTTGAGAGCCTTCCTCTAATTCGAGACCATGGATTCAACCCTCCAGAATATAAATTTTTCCTTAATCTGTTAGTTTCTGTTGGTTTACATATTATATGCGGGGTATTGCATCCGAATAGTCGTGATGGTTCTCTCCGTTCAAAAAAAAATCTAGAAATAAATTTATCGTAGATAACTTATATATAATATTAAAGACATCATATCTAATATGGTACATAAAATTTGCTCCAATTAGTAGGGGTGAACGTTTCGGGATTCGGGTCGAAATTTTGGCCGTTCGATTCGAGAACGATTTATTCGGTATTCTAAAATGCATACCAAATTAGTACCGTATATTATTCGGTTCGGTTCGATTCCGGTACTTTTCGTTTTTTAAAAAAAAAATCAAGATTTTCTTAAGAAAATTTCGTTTTTTCGGAAATTTTATAAAATTCGGTTCGGTTCGGTTCGGTTTGGGTCCGAAAAATTCGATTCTATAAAAATCATACCGTTTAAAAATTTTGAACGGTATAGTTCGGAAAAAATACCAAAATTTTCGGTTTGGTACGGTTCGGTTCCGAGAAACCAAATCGAAACGCACACGCCAAATTAGTAATAATGTGGAAGTTGGTTAGACTAACTAAAGATAAAATGAGCAATCATAACCAAACTTGGTCTGATAAAATACAAAAAAAATGCAAATATATATGATAAAGAAAATAATATATATTTTTTATAAAATATGTGCGACCGATAGAAACAAACAGTGTTAAAAATTAAAATATGGATGATGAAAGCCTTATCTCCCCACGCCACGATCCACAGTCTACACTTTGGTTTAGTGACTGCTTAACTGGACAACATTTTTCCACGTGGTATAAATAACACAAAGCTCTTTGCTTCGTTTTTTTTTTTTGGGTTATAATCTGTAAGAATTTAGACACTATCCAAAGTAACAAATGCGCATTGTGTCTGAAATTCCAAGCAGAGGAATAATCTAAGATGTGAAAGAATTATCATAATCTTTTGCAATAGACAATTTTGTCCGAAGTAGATACAGCTGTTTATAGAAGCAATTAACATACAACAATCCTAACCTAATTCACTGCGTATACGATGAATATTAATTTATAAACAGTTAAAACCCTTGATTTTTTTTTTGCCAAATACTTAAAATGGCGAAAAATGATTCAATTTTCCACCAATTTTCTAAATCCTCTCCGAATCGTACGGTTGCGAAGTGACCCTCGAGCACTTCATGATACGATATAACTAAATCTCACACCCACCTATATGGTTAACCTCTAATTGCCCTACATTTGGGGGAACATGATTTGTCTATATGCACGACCGATTGCACTTTCATACGTTCTTACTGGTTATTAGAATAATCAAATCAAAATGCTATATTTACCTCAATTCCATCATGTTAGCCTTCAAACAAACAGATAACCTTACATAGTTTGCATAATTATAACAAATAATTAAATTCAAAACATAATATATCATATATATATATATATTCTTAGTATTATATAAAATTTTAGTAACCACCAAAATAAAAGCTTATCTAGAAAATAAAGTTAAATTCTGTCGGTCTAACCGTACCCTTTAGTTTTAGTTGACATAAATGGCCACAAAGTTAACAACAAACTAAAAAACGTATTGATAATCTGAGAAAACCCAAGATTTACCCGCTAGCCTAACCAAGAAAATTTATATGAAGAAAAAGAACATTGGGTTTGATATACTCGTATATATATACACACACACACATACATACATACATACACACACACATAATGTAGTTACTAATTTAACATGGGGAACGATATGTAAAAAAGAAGTGGGAAGTTTCACAGGGAAAAGACTTAGACAATCTCATAGTGGCTGCAAGCTTTCAGGATGACTTACTAAAAGAATTCAGTCCTTATTAGCGTTTTTTAAAAAAGAACACTAATCCTACAAGTAGACAAAGATATCGCAAATGGGGAATAAATAATCTTATCACTTGTCTAAGCAAACAAATGAATATATGTATTATCATGCGAATCTTATTATATTATCCCACAGGGCGATACTATTCATGATTCAAGCACATTCGTAAGGGTTTTATATGGGCACACGTACACACCTTAGGTGCGCGCATGATCGGAATATTCACAGCCCGTATGCTCAATCAACTATAGTTTATATATATATATATATATATATATGCTCCGTTATGCACAAACAAAAACAATTTCATGTGACATACACGTCAAATAAGCCATATATATATGTATATGTATATAGGTAAATGCAGACATGTGGTGAGACTCGTGACACATGGTCAGGCATATATGCGAACACATACATATATATATATATATATCCTTTGGTCTGATAGACTCGGATTAATTCTTCCAAGGATTCAAACCAGTGATCTATCGGGAAAAAAAATAATTGAATTAGAGGTAATAGTGTCTTATAATGTTTTTTTTTGTCTTATAATGTTCTTTGAAACCTATATATATAGTCACTAAAACTTCAGAATGTACACCAGAACAGCACACTCAAGATGCATTTCCCAACAAAAGTTCCATGGACGTAGTCAAGCTCGCATAGACTTACACAATAGATACGATATAGCACCCAAGCATACATATATATACATATACATGCAGTCCTCTTTTCTTATTCTCTTTTTTTTTTTTGTGAGGATGGGTGCACGTAGATGGAAACATATATATATATATGTATGCATGCATAAGTGTGTAATGTTACATGCAGTCCTCGTCTCTTTTTTTTTTTGTGAGATGGGTGCATGCAGATAAGGGCATATATGTATGTATGTATGTATGTATATGTATGCATGCATATGCGTGTAACGTTACATGCAGTCCTCCTTTCTTTTTCGGGAGGATGGGTGCATCGTAGGAAATTTAACAAAAGGAAAGAAAATAAAAAAGGCAAATGGGTGGGGACTTATCTTAAGTGCAAGTGCGTGTGCGTGCATCGGGGCACGAGCCAGGAGGAGCGAAGATAAGTCGTTTAGTGGAGTCACCATAGAGAAAGTTGGTGGTGGCGTCCACGTCACTTAGGCTCATCTGTCTCCTTACTTCTTTTCTATGGCTCCTCCACTACAAAATACTAAAGCCTTTGGACCATTTATCCTCCCTTCTTTTTCATCTCTGCATTTCAAAGAACACTATGTATAAGAAATATTATAGATATTTCAGAGCAGACACTGCGACCAAACCCAACTAACAAAAAAAAACCCGATAATCATCTCCTAATCATGTTCTTGATCCAACTGTGATTAGTATATTATTGTCTCCCTAATTACCACTTAATTAAATGGTCAAAATCCAACTAATGATATGCTTGGTTTGAGACTGAATGCAAGTAGCTATCAAGATTGTGGTCCGCAGAATTTTAAAAACCCATTGGACAGTGGACAATTTGACACTAAAGCATGACAAGCATACCCAAAATTGTCCGCCAGGAATTAAAAACGGGAAATCGGAGAATCTACCTGCTGAAAGGCTGTTCATATAATATCTCTCTTGCTCATATACTACCGATGAATTAGGTTGCTGCTACAAAGCCAATGGGGTTAGATTTTACACAAAGGAACCTGCTTTGTGAGGGGTTCACGATATAAGATATGCCGAAAATAGAACTTTTTAAAAATCTAAGGACAAAACTCTATCAACAACAATACAGTGCATGTCTTTTTTTCTTTTTTGAGAGAGAGAGAGAGAGATCTCCCATCGGGATTCCTATCAACCTTTTCAGAGGTTCCCGGAGCAAAACATTAATGGAGGAATCTTGAAATTTTACTTCAGTTGGAGATGTGCATGTAAAGCAAAACTGAAAAGAATAAATACCTCTCATTTCTGCTTCTCGATCGGAGCCATCAAACCAGGTTATCTGCACGAGACAAAATCCTCTCTAGATTATACGATACCCTCTTCTCTTCGGTTCACCTATCAAGAAGCTGGTGGTCACAGGCTAAAGACAACGACGTTTTCACACAGGCAAGCACTAGATGACAAAGATTTGCACCGAGTTTTGGACGTTGAGAATATGATAAGAGACACATAGGAACAGTACTAATCCGCAGCTCCAAGAGGCAGATTATACTGGCCTCTGGACTAAATAAGTAATTTAGTTGCTGTTTAGCAATCAGTTTCCTAGATTAATATCTGTTTCCATCTCAAGAGCTGCTAGCCACTAAAGGTCGCTTATCAGACGCCCAAACAATTCGACCCCTTAACTGTGTCTGCTCTTCAATTTTTTTGTCTCTTCTCTCTTTTTTTTCCCCTTTCACAAGCTTCAACAGCGATATATGCAACCTTTAATAAAGTCAAGGGACATTCCTATCATATCCTCATATATATAAATATATATATATATATATATATATATATATATATTCTTTTCATACTGCTAAAACCCTTGAAAAGAGTCTAGATTTTCCATCAGAAATGTCAGTAGTATTTCATGCGTCTTTGTTTTAAATAACAGGGAATTATAGCAAGATACCTTCTTTCTTATTCGATTTAGGCGCCTGCTAATGGCGTTGATGTTCACACATGAGAAAGTGCACTTGTAAATGGCTAAAGAATCATTGGCGCCCCTCTGATAGAAAATGTAGAACCTGCCAAAATATATAAGTCGGAGTTCTTATTACCACACAAAAAAAGGGGCAAAATTAATGGGAAGTTACGTCAGTACATCAATCGCCTATATTGATCATTTTTGCTATAATGGCTGGCATCATAAGCATGAGACCCCACATTATCAACAACATAATCGTGCAACATATGGACGGTGAAGATTGGAAATCATTAGATTATAATAATGCGAGTGTGATATCGCATAGACACACCACAGTGTTAACTGTAAAGCGGCTTAATATAAATAGTGGGGAGGGGGGATGCCCATAGGTCCCCATAAGCAAAGCTGAAAAGAGTTTTCTATTGACACACAAGAACAAAAGACGAGGGGGAGAGAGAAAGAGAGAGTAAAAGAAAATGGTGCAAGAGGAAATCCGAAAGGGTCCCTGGACAGAACAGGAGGATATCCTTCTGGTGAACTTTGTTCACTTGTTCGGAGATCGGCGATGGGATTTTATTGCCAAAGTTTCAGGTTTGAAGGTGGAGGGAGAAACATAATAGGTAGGGTTGTCTGGACAAGGGCGGTCTTCAGAAGGGACCTTCCATTAATGACCTGGTTTTGTTGTAGGTTTGAACAGAACAGGAAAGAGTTGCAGGTTAAGGTGGGGTAATTACCTGCACCCTGGCCTCAAACGTGGGAAGATGACTCCTCAGGAAGAGCG